AAACCCTATTCCCATCAGATATGTTTGTAATGGTTGCAGAACTGAGAGGAGAACTCTTCTACAAAGCTTAAAAATGGCTAAGTAAATGCATACCACATAATTTTCCTAGACTGGGACTTTGCAGTTCTCCACAATATCCAATTTGAGAATGTGCTTCATAAAAACACTGGATGTTTTAAAGAAGAGATCGGATAACCATTTGTCTGAAATGGTATAGGGTTTCCTGCCTAAGCAGGGGTTTGGACTACAAGACCTCCAAGGTCCCTTCCAATTCTGTTATTCTGTTCCAGACATTTATTGTAGCATTAAATAGTGACTCCTCTGAAAAATCTGTTACTGTAAAGTCTGCATCCTACAGATAGTGATAATGATAAAACCATTCTGGAAAATAGCCTCCAATGCCAAGGCAGTTGGGCAGTGGCTTGGGACACTGTCACTAACTTCATTCTAAGCCTTATTCCTAGTCATGTGATGCAGGATAGAGGTATTTTGCCTACCCTTCCTAGTGCGCACATACAGACAAAGATACAACATGAATAGAAAACAGAAACACATATTGTTTCATCACACAGAAGAAAATAAAAAGGCTGCATATGGCCACTGCTGGCATGAGAAAGAGTTCCAGCAGCCATGCTCTGCATGTTTCCCTACCTTGATTTTTTTTAAAAAATTGTGTTCAAGGTTTTATTTTTTTACTATTTTTCCCCATATCATAGATTAAAATAGGGATTAGCAGCTGTCCAGAGCTGGAGGCAGCAAACCATATGATGGCTTTTAATGAAAAATAACAGTTCATCAGAGAAAGACAATTATATATGCCTAGATCCATATGCATTGGATACAACAGGACCATCTTCTCCAACCTTAATGTTGGCCTTCATCTTACAACATTTTCTGTCAGCATAGCTCCTTAGAAAGCTTAAAAAAAATATCACTGTCATCTAAAACAGCCAAAATGGCCATCATATGTTATATTATCATGTTATTTCTATATTATTGTACCTACACTGGTTAATAGACTGTATCTCTTCTGAACTAGTGTTCTCAAGCCAAGTCTAAGTCTTTTAAGTCTAAGCCACATTTTACTCCGTTGGTCAAAGTGGAGCTACATTGTTTTTGTTTCCCCAGAAATGAGTATGAGGAATGGGGTCCTACAACAATTTGCACCCTTACATTTCTGACTCCAGTCTGGCCAATTATAGTTACACTATTTGCGTTGTTAAAAAAAATAAAAAGAGAAAAAGGAATTCGGTGACTTTTAGAAGTGTACATGAACATTCTGGAAATCATATTACGATGTATAAAGGGCACCTCGTTGAATTGCCTTTAAATACCACACTCAAACTTCTGCATCCACTCATACGTCATGCCAACTGTCAGATCTTGTGGATTGTTCCCTCCTAGCCATCCCTACTTGAGTAATTGAATAGCTGTATTATTCTGCTGTTTTATTCCATTTTCAATTTTCTGATGATCACCTAATTATGCATTAATAGTAGGGATGCCACTGTGTGCCTGGCTGTACTTAGCAAAATAGGTTAATCTAAGGTTTGAGCAGCTAATGTGATGTGTCAAATACTTTCCTTAGCTTAATTGCTTTTTTAAAAATCTAACCTCTTGGCTACAGCGTCTCTTTCCTGAAATGTAGCTGCACTCTATTAACACCTGATATAGCATTCATCTTTCAAAGCGGGTTTCACATTTCTAAAATATAATGAAAAGCTGAAGTAGATACCTTACATCACTGAAGCACACATTTCATAGAAATACATTTCATAGATAGTCCAGTTTAGTAAATTACAATTCATATGGGGAAAAAGACAAAAATTCTTAGGAACAAGGCTGTAGGAGAAGTAAAATTCAAAGGTGGCTAGGAAAATGGTTTGAAAAAGTACAAGGGAACAAAACTCTAAAGTTATAGATCTTCTCTGCTGGGAGAACAACCTTTATAATGATGAATTCTTCCAAATTGGGGAAAGCAGCTTAGCAGTTGACTATTCCATCTATTCCATTCATCCAATGTGATTGCATTAAACTGGATTTGCATATATATTGTTGGTATATAGAGCATATTCTTCTAAAAATATATTGCCAAAATAATATGTTAGAAATAGCTGCAAATTATCCATGTGTTTCCAGGACCTGTTGGAATTATGAAACTGAAAATTGCTTATGCTACAATTCTGAAACAAAGGCAAAAATAAGATATGCCTTTTTCAATTTTGGAATAGGATGTCAAACCAGAATACTATATAACTGATTTGCATCCTAAATTATCTTGATAAAACTTTGGTATATATTTAAAAGAGCATTGGCTAATTTGATAAAACTTGATAGTAACAAATAATATAACCATTGGATTATTGTAATAAATGATTTCAGGAAAATAATGTGACAACTCTTCCTCTATTTTTCTTCCCGATCACAATAATTTGAGATGAAGGCTGCACTTCAAAATAGTGGTTTTTCCAAAGTAATGCAGTGAACATCATGGCTGAAACTAAATGTGAACCTCCCCTCTGAATTCAATACCTTAATGCCCTAATGCTATACAACACTGCCTCTTTACTATAGCAGAAATCCTTCTAGATTAATATTCCATTCTAGCCACTGAGATTCCTCCAAAAAGTTCCCAAACAGAACCCAAAGATAGCAGCCCCTTTCCTACTATTGCTTCTTAGGACATTTCTTCCAATCATGACTAAAATATAGTAGTGGTCTTGTCTTCCATTTGTCTGTTCTTTTAGAAACCACTTCAGCTTGAGCCCTTAACACATTGTGAGCAGCCAATCCAAGTGAAGTGCCTTCTATGTCCTTTGGAATCTATTGTCATGTCTCTGGGTAAGACTGAATTATTCCTTGAGAGAGAGAAAAGTGCTTCCATCTACCTACTGTATACCAATCAAGTTTATTTTGACATTCAGATAACACAAAACTAAAGATGCACATGCGTAAAACTCAGGCAATATTTGCTTAATATTTTACTCACCCAAAATTTTACTAGGAAGAAGGCATTCTGGGGTCCTTTTCCAAACAATTCCTTCAAGCCTCCCTTCTTTTCAGGGAATTTGTCATAAATCTGACGAATGTCCACTGACTCCAGCAATGGATCGCTATAAGAGTGGTTGGCATGTCCAATGTGCACAAAGAGGTGTTTGTTATACTACAAAGGAAAAATACAAAGGAAGAATATATTTATATTTATAATATATTTGTAAAAGTTAGATGTACATAAAAGATCTTTCTTCTTAAAAGGAAATAGCCAATATAGTATTACAATTGCAATCTAACAGAAATCAATCGGAGCTAGATAACCTTTAGTTTGATACAGTATGTTCTCATATTCCTAAGAAACTTGACTACCAAATAACCTTCATTTAATAAATAGAACAGAATAGAATACTTTATTGGCCAAGTGTGATTGGACACACAAGGAATTTGTTTCCAGTGCATAAGCATTCAGTGTACATACAAACAACAAAGTATATCATCATAAGACACCAATGGAGAAGGTAGTAGAAAAGATTAGAAGGACAATAGCCTTTAGATGGGTAAATATCCTTAGACATAAGGCATTGCTGGGGTAATTAAGTGTTCAGGAGAGTGATGGCATGAGGGGAAAAAACTGTCTTTGTGTCTAGTTCTTTTGGCACACAATGCTCCATTAGTAGCATTCAGGGAGAGGAGTTGAAACAGTTTATGTTCAGGATGTGATGGGTCTGTTGACATTGTCTCAGCTTTCTTTCTGATCCATGCAGTATACAGTGTAAACAATGAATAAAACCAATTTATTAATGTGTATCTATAATCAGCATTATCACAGTTTTTTTTTAAATTTCAGAATCAAGAGTAGCATTTTATGACGTCTAAATTAAACTTAAACAATTATGAACTAGTTCCGTTTTTTTCCACTATTTGAATTTTCCCCTCCAAAAATAAAAGAAAAAAAATCTTCCTTTCCTAATAGCCAAAATCACACTATTGCCAAGCACAAGTAGAAAACTTTTCTATCTTCTAGGTTAGAGAGCTAGAGAAAGGGTATTTCTGTTTTAAAGGACAAAGTATATAGGTCAGAAAAGTAAACAAATGAATGGGAGAAGCTAACGCACGAATGAACAAATGCATGAATGAATGAATGCTTATGAGCAAAAGCTTTTGAAAGGGCAGGCTTAACTTGCATACCGATCAGTTACACAAGAATTACAGTAATTATCATCCTATTCTGTAACTCCAAGTAATTACCATACCGCGTCTGCGCAAATATAGGACAATTGCAAAAGCAACAAGCTTACTAAGCTCTTTGAAGCTCACTTCAAAAATATGTAAAAGGCTTATAATATGTACCATGATGTACCTTTTTAGTAAAAATAACTCAGTTTCAAACCTAGGCTTCATATTCCTTGTTTTCAAACACTTATATTGAAATATCCATAGGGATGCTAGCTGGATTATTTCTCAGGCATCTTTCTACTGTCTCTTTAGAATTCTGGATTAAGATGCTACATTAAGCACACTTAATGTAAAAGAACTTCAGTCTGGTTGGATGTTGAACCAACAAAGGATTATGAAGTTGCATGCATACTGCTTATCAATTCTAAAAAATCACTAGGAATTTCATTTGATATTTTTGTTTTGGTTTATATAGAATCCCGCATGGAAAAGATAGAGGCTAACAACAAACAGGGTTTCAACGAAGGAAGAAATTGATTCACATATTATCTGAGAATCTTTTCAGCCTGTGGGTGAAATCTTATATATTTATTGCATTTAGATTCCCGCCTTTCTTCTATCAAAAACAAGGTGGCTATATTACCAAGTAGTTTGATTTACAAACCATGCTAAAGCATATAATTTACATTGGTTTTCCATAAAGTTTCGTTATCTGAACTCCACAATTCTTATTCTTTCATGCCCTCCCCCCTCTCACACACAAGTAAATTAATCAATTAATTAGTGAGAAGGCATCTTTGGTCCTACCAATCTTCTGATACCTGCTGAAGATGACTGTATGAATTTATAGTAATTACCAGTTGAAAATTGGTAGTGAATATTCCACACATGGTCACCATCACTTAGCAAGTCTCATACATCAAATCCCAGAATTTATTGGTTCAGTTTCTACTCTTAGTAGTTCCACCACTTCAAAATAGCTCATTTAAGAGAAGATAAACCCACAGATGTGTTACAACCATTGCACATCTACTGTATGCAAATGCAGATTAATATGTTAAAACAACTTTGGGGTGTTATAATCTTGAATACTTTAGTGTAATACAAGATTTCGGATGTAATCCTATCTACTTATACTTAATAGTAAGCACTACTGAATCAGTAATCCATATGAATAGTGTCTTTAAAATATTTCAATTCCCTATCTTCTTATTTTGACCTTGATGGTAGAGCTAATCTAA